CATAATTATTTCAGTAGAGTGATGGAGAAGAAAACAGAAAAAAAAAAAAAAAAAAGAAAGAAAGAAAGAAAAGAAAATGAAAACACAAATCATAGACTGGGAGAGAACATTTCCAAATCATGTATCTGATCATGAACTTGTATCCAAAATATACAAAGAACTCTTAACATTCAATAGTAAGAAAAGCAACCTGCTTATAAAACAGCCAAAATGTTTGAATAGATATTTAATTAAAGGTATACAGAGGCTAATGCACACATGAAATGACACTCAACATCGCAATCATTAGGGAATGAGATTAAGACCATAGTAGGATACCATTTATACCCATAAAATCACTTGAACCCAGGAGTTTGAGGTTGCTGTGAGCTATGAGGCCACTATCTTCTATTCCAAGGGAACAAAGTGAGACTCTCAAAAAAAAAATTGATGGGCACACAATGAACCATTTAATAAGTATTTCTGGAATTACTTGACAGATAACTATATTCCAGGTTGGCCAGTATATTAGGCCTCACACTAAAATTAATTCAAGATAGGCCAAAGATTGAAATACATAAAATGAAACCAAACCCTAAAGGAGTTCATGGGAGAACTCTTCAAAAAGAATAATTTTAAAGTGGGGGGAGACCTTTCTAAATAGGAAATATAACGTAGATACCATAGAACACCAGTGAATTCTATCTACTACATGGACATGCTTGTAGAATGTGCATGAAAAACTAACCATAAGTAAAAAGAAAACAATAACAGGCTATATTAAAACAATGACAACACAAAGAAAGCAGAGCCCTTACACACTGGCCATGGAAATGTCAAATGGTAGAGCTAGTTTGGAAAACAGCTTGGCAGCTCCTTAAAAAGTTAAACATCAAGGGCGGCACCTGTGGCTCAAGAAGTAGGGTGCCGGTCCCATATACTGGGGGTGGCAGGTTCAAGCCCGGCCCTGGCCAAAAACTGCAAAAAAAAAAAGGTTAAACATCAATTTACTGTAGGACCCAGCAATTGTTTATTCCTAACTTCTCTTCTAACCCAGAAATGAAAACATGTGTAAAGACTTGCATGAGAATGTTCATAGCTGTATTATTTATAGTAGCCAAAAATTGGAAACAATCCAAATGTTCATTGACTGGTGAATGGACCAAAAAAATGTGGTCTAGCTGTCCCGCAGAATGCTATTCAGCAATAGAAAAAAACAAAATGTTGATATATGCTACTGGCAGATGGACGCTGAAAACACGCTAAGTGAGGGATGCTAGATTCAAAAGACCCGACATGCTGGGACTTGTCTGAACAAAAGTGAGACTCCCATCTCTATAAAATATAATAATAGGCAGTGCCTGTAGCACAGTGGGTAGGATGCTGGCCACATACACTCAGGCAGGTGGGTTCAAACCTGGCCCGGGCCTGCTAAACAACAATGACAACTGCAACAACAAAAAATAGCTGGGTATTTTGGTGGGTGCCTGTAGTCCCAACTACTTGGGAGGCTGAGGCAAAAGTATTGTTTAAGTCCAAGAGTTTGAGGTTGCTGTAAGCTGTGATGCCGTGGCACTCTACCCAGGGCAACAGCTTGAGACTCTGTCTTGAAATATACATATATAATGATAAAAACAAACAAGCAAGCAAACAAACAAAAAAACCCCAACCACGTGTCAGGGTGCGTGCCTGGTTCCAGCTACTCTGGAGGCTGAGGCAGGAGGATCCCTGGCCCAGGAGTCTGAGGTTGCTGTGAGTTACGGTGATGTCACTGCACTCTACTCAGGGCACAGAGTGAGATTCTGTCTCAACAACACTGCCCCCCCCAATCCAAAAGACTCCATATGGTATGGTTCCATTTATATGAAACATCCAGAAAAGGAAAATCTGAAGAGACAGAAGAGATTAGTAGTTACCTGGAGCTGAGCATGGTAACAGGAAGTGACGGCAAATAGCAGGAGGGATCTTAATGCCTATGATGGAAAGATCCTAAAACTGGATCATGGTAATGGTTGTATACTTAGGCAAATTTACTAAACGTTACTGAGAAAGGGTGGAATCGCTTAAGATGGATGGATTTTATGGCATGTAAATTATACTTGAATGCAATTTCTTTTTTTTTTTTTTTTTCTGAGATAAGAGTCTTGCTCTGTCACCCTGGGTAGATTGCCACGGCGTCATCATAGCTTACAGCAACCTCAAACTCTTGGGCTCAAGAGATCCTCTTGCCTCAGCCTACGGAGTAGCTGGGACTATAGGCAAGAGCCACCACTCTTGGCTGTTTTTTCGATTTTTAGTAGAGATGGCATCTCACTCTTGCTCAGGCTGGTCTCCAACTCCTGAGCTTAACGGAGCCTCCCACCTCGGCCTCCCAGAGTTCTAGGATTGCAGACATGAGCTACTGCATCTGGCCTTGAATGCAATTACTTTTCAACAAGACACGTATACAATATTAACCATTGCAACATTCTTGTAAGAGCAAAAGATTAAAACTACTTTAAAAGGCCATCAATAGAGGACAGGTGAAATAAATTATCTATACAAGGCATTATAAAAGGAGTTTTTTACACGGTGTGAAATGATCTTCAGGTTTTATTAGGGGAAAGGTACAAGATATATGGCATAATATCACTCATTTGAAAAATAGAGGAAGGGAGAATAATAGGTACGTATGAATTTATTCATTTATGCCTAGAATACCTCCAGAAAGATATGTAAGAAACTAGTTTTCTCTGTAGAGGGCAACTGCATGGCTGGGCATGGAGGTGGAGGGAGATTTTTCACCGAATTATGATTTATACAAAATCCAAACAAAGGCCCAGTGCAGTGGCTCACCCCTGTAATCCTAACGCTCTGGGAGACTGAGGCAGGAGGATCCCTTGAATTCAGGAGTTTGAGACCAGCTGAGCAAGGGTGAGACCTGGTCTCTACCAAAAATAGAAAAATTGGCTGAGCATTGTGTGGGGCGCCTGCAGTCCCAGCTACTTGGAAAGCTGAGACAGGAAGATGGTTTGAGCCCAGGAATTTGAGGTTGCCGTGAGCGAGGTTGATATCACAGCACTCTACTGGCACAAAAGACTGAGACTCTGTCTCAAAACCAAACCAAACCAAAACAAAAACTACAGAAAAGTTAAACTAAACAAAGAAAAAAAAACCTAAAAAATGTTCTGTTCAGATGGGAGTTGTTTGATCTTTTCATTTTTCTTTGACAAGTTTTCTCAATAGGGGGCGCTTCTGAAACACCGTACTTGTTTTAATTATTTTATTTTATTTTTATTAAATGACAGCTATGTACATTAATGCAATCATGGGGTACAGTGTGGGGTTTTCATATACAATGTGCCTGTTTTTATTTTTTATTTTATTGGAGAAAACCCCAAATTTGCTCTGATGACCTTTCTTCTCCATTTGTGACCCCTGGGAACGTTGAGTTTAGGTTTAGGGCTAAAAGTCTGTCTGCTAAGAGCTCTCCAAGATGTACTGCATTCATTCTGAAAACTGGATAGAAGGATGCCTGGATTGAAAGAAGGAAAAAAAGGCAATTGGTTCAGAAAATAAAATAACGCTTTCGGCCCTGCCTTCTTAACAGAAACATCTCATAGACTGATTAAATCAGGACCCCTGATTGATTGATTGATTGGTTGAGTGTAAGGTTAATATAGGTCAGTGGTTCTATGTGAAGGGTGATTTGCCCTGGATTGGAGGTCTGGGGACATTTTAGGTTGTCACAATGAGGGATATCCCAGGCATCTGGTGGAAAGAGCCCAGGCATGCTGCTGTAACTCCTACAATGCCCAGAACTGCCCTTTTCACGAAGAATTAACTAGCCCCAAATGCTAATAGTATGGATATTGAGAAACCCTAATATAGAAAGGTTAAGATTACTATTTATCATCTCTGTGGCTGGAGTCTCTGTTCTAAGACGATTTACAGATAAGCACAGCATTCATTTTTTTAGACCAGTGGTTCTCAACCTTCCTAAGGCCCTTTAATACAGTTTCTGTGGGTCGTGACCCACAGGTTGAGAACTGCTGTCTTAGGCCAAGACAATCAGTACTGACCTCAGTGTTTTTAGAGAGGGTCCCTAAAAACCACTTTCCATACCCACCCCCCACAGTCTGATGCTTAGAGTAGTTTGGGGGTGGAAGAAGGGAGGAGATAGCTTGGGCTGTGGCTGGGCGGACAGGTGATGGCCAAGATACTTTCTTAGAAGTGGTGTTGAGGAACCCACCTGTTCTGAGTCCCGAGCTCAGTTTTTCCTCAGTTGGTTTCCTTGAAGGTGACTATATTGGTCATTGTCCCGATCCTTGAGGGGCTGGAAAGTATGGTACAGTTATAAGGCCATTTTTTCCATCCAATATTAATGAATTGGATGCATATTTACTGAATGATTTTTATTTGTGAGGCTTGGGGTGCTTCATAGTCCTGAGGCTGGAAAGATGACGAGGAGATGGAGACCCCGATGCAGTTTCTTTGCGTGTCCCTCTCAACTTTTACTCACTAGATCCTAACCTCCGCCTCTCTCAGCCTTCTCTTTATTTCATCTATTCTCCCTGGAGGGATAACTTTCACCATCTGGTATGTTGTAAGCAGTTCCTTATCTGTTTAGTACCTTCCAGCTAATTTCCCCCCAATCCCAAAGTTTTACCCCCACTAATTGCTGCAATGCCTTTTTCTTCTTCATTTCCTTACCTGGTAGAGCTGCTCATTGGGCAACAGAGTCTGCTTGTCTGAAGCTGCACAAGAAATAAGCAAAAGACACAGGGAGAATGGATAATAAGCTGGGTTACAGTCACACAGTGGAATACTAAATAATAAAGAATCATCTACACGTGAGTGTCTGAATAATCTCACAATCTTGCATGTGAGTTTGTTTACATAAAAAACAAAACAGGGATGGGTGCGGTGGCTCACACCTAGAATCCTAACACTCTGGGAGGCTGAGGCAGGTGGATTGCCTGAGCTCACAGGTTGAAGACCAGCCTGAGCCAGATCAAGACCTCATCTCTAAAAATAGCCAGGCGTTGTGCTGGGTGCCTGTAGTCCCAGCTACTTGGGAGGCTGAGGCAAGAGAATTGCTTGAGCCCAAGAGTTTGAGGTTGCTGTGA